TTTTTCAGCTGTTACAAAATAAAAGTAGTATTTACTTGTAATTTTGTTAGCGCGATACAAGCGGGAATAAAACATTTCAGATTATTTCTAGCAAATGTCATAACGGACAGGTGGGAGTAAGTAATACTTGAGGAATGGCAACTTGTGCACTGTTTTACATCAACACGTGCCAGATTTTATACTAGACCAGGGTGGTCCAAACCCAGGCCCGCCGCTTCATTATCTGTGGCCCGCGTCACATTCGGAGAGCAATCAAAAAAATCGCATTTTGTGTTGTTTCGTCTTAAAATTAATCAGAAAAATCTTTTCGAAATATTGTCATCACTAATGTCACTGAATTAAATAGTGTTATGGCTAGCTGGGGAAACTAGCGAAGTTGAATGATGTGCTTGGCAGTCCGAATTGTTATCTGGCTTACTAACATTTTGGTCGGGAATATATGCTAACAATATCAGCATCATAGAAAACTAAAAATCGAATGCGGATTCTATTAGCCTAGAATGGCTATGCCTGATAACTATGTGATTGTACAATAAAAGTGTTTGTTTTGTATTGCACTGTTTACCTATTCTCGGCACTATTGTGGCCTGCGAACAATGCAAAAATATTTTGTGGCCCGCGGAGCCGACAACCTTGGACCACCCTGTACTAGACCAAGCATACTGTGCGAATGTCGTCTTACTTTAGCTCCAGCGACCATGTTAGATCGTGATGAAGCGTCGACCAAATATCGCTCGTCAGCGCGGCGTCCATTATGCACAATTGGATTTTCTGAATTACGAAATTAAACGTAGTCCACAATAATAATGAAGCCCGATCTAGCCAATAACGCTGTTATCCACAAATGATATTGTCTCTAATTTTTATGGAAATTTTTGTTCGCAATCGTAGTCGGGTGAACGATTGTTTTTCTCGAAATTAATTTAATTTAATCGTGGTTAATTTTATCGTCTTCATATTCTTGCAAGCATTTCCCATTTGTAGTAATTCAGATGCGATTAGAATGTTTTTGTCGTATTACTCCATGCTGCTGGCATAAATATAAAATATTGTACTTAAATTTGAAGATGGAAAATCGGTAATAAGGCCGGACTCAATTCAATATAACAAGAAGTGAAATACCACAGTGACAGTCACATAATACTGGTATGGGACTGGGGAACGCAGTGCTGTTACTGTGTTTATGACATAACAGTAAAACTGTTCCCTACTTATTTTCTCATATGAATTCCTTCAAATTGCCTCAGTCCTGATACAAGTATAACACAATAATAACTGAGTATTGTAAGACTCACATATAAGTTGCAAAAGCAAGTTTTTCATCAATGCATTTATTGGTGATATCTATGACCTACATCTTTTTTATCATGATGGAAATAGGTGTGGCTCATTCAGTGAAAAACTCTTATCATCCTTGCTATATAGCGTATTCCATTTTCAAGTTTTTCTCTTCTAGATTTGAGTTTTTTTGTGACATTGAGCAAACATACACATTCAAATAAAAAAAACTTAGTTGAATCAGATTCGGAAAGATTCGATTAGAAAATTTTTGATTCGAGATTCGATTCGAAAAAAAAATGTATACAGAAGTGGCAACTCTAATCTTTGGTTAAATGTTTATTCCTAAATAAAAAAATAAAAATAGAGATTTACATATTAAAGTTATTAGTGTTCATTTTATATATATAATGTACCGCAAATATAAATTAAATCCGATAACTGAAATAATGATAAATCAATTGTCAACTGCTGAATAAAAAGGCTTGCCATAGGTGTATTACCAAATGCTCGGAAAAGTCTATATATATATATATATTAAATTGAAATCAAATTATTCATAAATTATATATAAAATGAGGTTTACTGCCGAATAGCTCAAGATGGTTATAGTAGGTATACAGGATAAGGACATGCGAGTTTATTTAGAAGTAAATTGCATTACCCTGATGCTTCATCATTTGCCTCGAAAGCAATTGCCGGTAAGTATTCATAGTCTTTTTTAAATGACTTTGTTTAAATATCAGCGGGTATATAAAAACTCACAAGGCGTGTTTTGTAGCGATATGGTATTTTTGAACTCAGGTTATCTCTCAATTGCCATATATATATATATGGTTATGTATTGTTGAAAGGTAAACGTCAAACTGTTATGGTCTTAGCACTTGTCTGTTTTTACTGATCAAAAATCTGACTGAATTTGTGTTTTGTTTTGCCAATTTCATGAAATTCACGAATGTTTCAGTGGACCATTTAAAACAAATCTGAATGATAACCTCTTTCACCAATCCAATTCATCTGTCGTTGCTTCACTGTGGCAAAAAATCACATCCAGAATAATGGTCGCATTTCAAAACCACGAGCAACAACAAAGAGTAAATGAAAGCAATTCAAAAAAGCATTTTCTGTAATATATCAAACAAAATATATATTGTGAAGATGCAACCCTGGATGGAAAAAAAATTATTTCATATTGGTAATCGATGGCGTACGTAACGTACGTTGATTATTTGAAAAAAAAAATTTTTTTTACGAAACTCAAGTAATTTAGGAATAATTAATTTTGTTTCGTGATTTAAAATCGAATTGAAGTAATTTTGGGGTTTTTGTTGCTGATGTTATTGTAACAAAACCTCCATTAAAAACTTCAATCTATCTCAAAAATTATATCGTACCTGAACCATTGATAGTGCTTATTCCGAGATTGCGCGAAAGCCTTTGTAAGCTTGTCTTGTTGTAACTATGTACGACTAAAATTAAGCAAGTGAAAATCTATCGTGGTATAGCATGTAGATCCAATTGAAGAAATCTTGTTTTGATAATAATTCTAGAATTGTAGATACGAAATATTCCAAACTTAATTACCTACCTCGGGCCCTCGGCGAATGATAATATATTATGCTGTATGTCACCTTGGGTATTTTGTGGAATAAACGTGTATTTGGAGCGAAAAAGGTTGCACAGCTCTGTTGTTGGCTACTAAAAGTTACATTTGTTCCATCCATTTTAACACTAAAGTCGTTTTTAAGTTTGAGAGGCAAAAAGGTATGGCTGCATGCATGCATGACACTATACTAGTTAATATATAGCCATAACCAAATTATTTTTGGGGTAAAAGGTTAACAGTGGCATCACAGACGCAAGAAGACAAATTGAAGGACAATGCGTCCATGCTGACGAACGAACTTTTTGTACATTTTAACTTCATTTATAACACCGCGAAGTATCAGTCTATTTTCGTACCATCCACAAATCCATAAAGCATCGTTTACTCATGTTATGAGAATTAGGCTCAGTTGTTTCTGTTGCAGTGTGCTACACTTTGTGATCCGTTGTTTATATTGCCTTATTATTACATTATTGTTCTTTGTGTTGTAATCACTGATTATTATCGCCAAGCGACAATGAACTGCATCAGTTACTTGCTGTTACAAGCATCAGACGGTGGTAATGTAATTATATTGCATGTTGTTGTGTTTAGGTTAGAATTTAGATAAAGGCAACAATCCATAACCATTTTTCAAATGTCCAAGATATGTGTCATTGTAGTAGCCTACGCTGTAGGAAATTTACGTCGTATTTCCGTACTGGATGGGTATACATATAGAACGGATCGTTTTGAAACCCGTTTTGACATATTTCGAAAGACTATCAATTATTTCGATGAACATTAATTAAGTTGGCTTGTGCAATGCGAATCTCGATTTCTTTGTTACTTTTGCTTTCATTGGTAATTGTTTGGCCTAGATATTTAAATTGTTTTCTGTGGACGTTGATTTTAGCATGAATGTCTACTTTTTAATAACTGATGACTATTGCTTTTGTTTTTCTTCACATTCATGCCAAGCCCGTTTCGTTCACTTGTTCTCTTCACTTCATCAAAGATTTTTTGAAGATCCTCGTCGGTGTTGGACAGCGGGGCGGTGTCGTCAACGTGGCGTATGTTGTTGATGTTTCTGCCGTTGATGTTGAGACAAATCAATTTTGTTGTAGCCTATATATATCCGTCAACTTTCGTATCAGGGAAAGGTTGAAGCTCCTTTCCGATTAATTTGCAATTAAGCCATAGTGGCAGATTCAGAATGTTAACCAGCCAAGTGGGTCTTCGCAACCCTTCTTTACATAGCATTACTTTCAAATTTGAAAAATCATAAAAAGTCCGACCATTCCTCAAATGCTTAAATTCATATTCAACAGAGTACTACCAATCAGGCATTTCGAGTGTTACTCTAATTTTGATATCAGTTACTCATATTCTATTCTATGCAAAAACATTTTCTTATTGGGAAAACAGTGTAATGTTCTGGTATCTGAAACTGCTGGTATTTAGGTAACCTAACAAAGCGCAGCAGTGACCTTGTAGAATAGGATTTTCTGTGTTGCACCTGTTGGAATATTATAGAATATCGCAGGATATGCTGTGGAACATCAGACCAACGGGCAGTGTATACCAATAAAAATAGGGTTAACTAGCGTAGTGAAACGCACAAACAGATCATTTTAGCAGCGAAATGATATTTGAACAATGCTGCAAAAATAAAAATTGCTTGTCGCTGCAGTAGTGAAATTTTAACACTCGGGATATTGGGAAATAAATATCAGTTTTTATCTGCAAGGTATTTTTTGAGCAGCCTATGTGTAAACAATGTAAACACAACTGTAGTCTGTAGCTATAAAATTAACTTTATAGGTGGATCACTTTAGTTTCAGAAATATTATTTATATCGTTTACATGCCTTTTTTTATTTTTATAGCAAAAATATGCGTTTAAAATCCTAAATCCTATTACCTTTGTACGGCAAAACATATTATAGTCAGCTTGATGCTTGCTACAATATCCTTGTATTATTCACATACTTATACAACAGCGAAAATGCATAAAGAATGGCTGAGCAGTCGTACCTAACCTCACCTGATAATAATTGCAAACATCCAGAATTCTGGTAATATTCAAGCTGCTATGAGAGTAATAGCATTACATTTATATCATAACGCTTAAAACATAAAACGTTCACCCAAATATACAAATAATCAACACGATAATTTCTGTCATGAACGGGCCATATATTGCATCAGTAATAACGCCAAACTAAAATAACGTTTAGTGAAATTAGGTATAGCTTATCCTGTGAACTAACCTATTAAGATATCATTCGAATCGAAAAGTATTTGATTTAAGGTGGATTGTTACAAGTTTGCAGAATATCTAAATTTTCGTCTCGCCGCTTCGATGTAACTTGCGGTTAGAGATGGGTGTAAAAAAATCCATGAGTATAAAATTTCTTTTTTAGAATCACGAGGCTTGTTAGTACGCAGCTGTGGTACTTCAATTAGTCCAATTTTTCTGAAAAATTTTCTTGAAGTTGGATGATCACAAACACCATACCACATGGATTGTTTGTCAACTCCTTATAATTGCAAACGTTTGCGTGCTGCATCCATCAGCAGTTGAATTCCTTTATCGGCAAACATGGTGCCGATATCTTTTCCTCTGTATTCATCATCAATTATTTGAAAATCGCCATAAATAATTTTCATTCCAAATTCATCTGCCAAATCATGCATTTTACCGACATAAGTCTCCATTTCCCACTCATCGTGTCTAAATTATAATGTTGCAGATATTACTACCGATTTTATTGGTCTTCGAAGAAAATATAAATATTATTGATAAAAAATATTTTTTTTTTATATTTTGGATAGCCATTAGACTGAGCATTCACTGCTTTCATTTAAAGAAGATAGTAAAAGGAGTATTTAGTTACGTTTAATTTCAAGTCTATTTTTGTTATGACATACAGAAATATCCAAAAATACAGCGTGAGCTGATTACATTAACGTCATATAAGATTTCAAAAAAAATTTTCGAAAACGTTTCGAGGTTGTGTGGCAGTAATGAAAAAAAACAAATGCTATAATTTATAATTTTTTTGTAGTTGTCAAGGTAACCATACTTTTGAAGTTCCCATTCTTCTTCATCGATATCAGCAAAACGACTGTAAGCTTCTTTTAACAAATCCTCATCTTTCTCCATTGAGCATGCTGTCGCTCCAACTATTTTGACTTTGTCAGCTTTCCTCGTTTTAATGAGTGCTAGAAATCCGCGCCCGTCTTCAAATATTGCTGGATATAGATAGATATTCATAATACACAGCAAGAAATTTTCGTCTAATATCCGGATCAGGGTGTATGTAAATATATAGAGGATCATTTTGAAAAGCTCGTTGACATATTTTGAAACTTGCCAACCAGTCAGTTTCATTACCATCAGATAATTCATTCCACATGCTGAAAAACAAGATAGCAATGCTCAAATATATGCAAAACGAATACTTTACCCAAATTTCTCTAAAATCACCTCCTGAACAAAGCCGAAACTGTGGAACGGCGACCGTAACTTATCAGTACAGATACTGGGACCCGGTCTTCCCTAGGTTTACCAGGTCCTTTGACGGTGATGATTCATACGCCCCAGTGGTACTCAACCCTTTTTCTCTCGTGGCCCAATTTTGTTACACAAACAATTCTGTGTTCCAACTTATTCATGTAAGGGAAAAACTACAAGAAAAACAAAAAATTCGTTTTCGTAAAGATAGAGATTTCCACTTTAATAATCAAAATGAGAATTACCACTCTGTAGAAAAACACAGCATTATCGTTCATTGCCACTGCGATTTGGACTAATTTTTCAATATCTTTGGCAATTTTTAATATGTTTGTGGCCCACCGCTGCCATGACCCACTGGTTAAGAACCGGTGATCTAGCCTCAACGTGATATATAATTGAATATCAAATGCTTTGAGTTACAACCGTAGTATCAAATCTTCTACCGTAGGCAGTCCATCGAACCTTATCTAAAACCTTCCGACTATCGCTGAGCAGGAGATCCCCTAATTGCGATCACGAAACCGCAGCAAGGTGGCAATTTTTAAATTTGATGATGTAATAACACAAAATTTTGAAGTGTTAAAACGAATCCCGAACCTTCTAACGACAACAACAATCTATTTAACCACTGGAATTTAACGAGAAAAAAATACCAATCAAGGATACTAACAACAACAATTTAACAAAACACGATCCATAGGTCCACTTGGTGTACAACGAATATGTCGCTCAAATATTTAAAATAAGGCATGGAAAATCATGTTTTTCAGATTCAGAATCCATTCTGCATTGTCACTTTGAGATATAACATTGCGCCTTTCACACTTTTCAATGTATAATTTAGACAAGTTCGGTTTATCCCGTGGTCACAAAAATGCTAAATAAACATTTCCGACAATGCTACACAAATAATTACTTACTTTACTGATTGATAATTACCTTTTTGTATCTTTCGAGGACGTCATTTCAAATATTTTCGTTAGTAGTAGCTGATCAGTAGTAAAGACGCGTAAATATGAATACTCGTTACACAATTTCCGTGTGCGACAAAGTTGCAACGCGTACAATTGTTTAGAGACCGACTGCAGTACGCGACTGGCAAAAACGTTTTATTGAGTTCAGATTTGGATATTGATATATGAAGCATTTCCGTTACGTGAGGTCTGAACAAAAACAGAAAATTCCAATGGATTTTTAAAATTATTCCAACACTGAAACACCATTTTATCCCTTTCGTTAGCTTTGTAATAAAAGACGGAAATATTACGCGTCCGTATAAAGTTTCAAATCAAATGATTTGAATGACTTTTACTAACATGTAGCATAGTCCGGGTGATTGGATTAAATACGGAAAATCACAGCGAAGATGCCCGAGTTCGAGTCGCTGTGTGTCTGCCACGCACCACCACATGTCGTTGCGTGTCAAATTAAGAAAAGAAATCAAATATAATTTGAATAGTTTACTTTATGTCAATCAAAATTCTCTCACATATTTCTAATTGTTGTATAAATTAAAATATTATATAATCAGCGCTTTTGTCAACTCGAAAAACTGATTTCGTTTAATTAAGGCTTGATTCTGTGTGACCAGGTAATTAAAACATTTTTCTGTATTATATTGTACTGATGGGGATGTTCGGCAGTTACCAAGATGCACAGCGGGCAGTGATTGTGAAAATTTTTAGAATACTGGACTAAACTATACTGAGCAACAAACCAGGTTTTACCTATTTTGATTGTTTCAGAGACAGGGGTAATACCTGTTGAACAATCGTGTATATAGAGATGAAATACACACACTCAAGATGAAATGATGCGATTATGGCATTGATTTTCAAATCAAAGCTATTTTAAGCGATTCTCGCATTTTTTTTTAACTATATTTGATTTTTATAGGTCACCAAAAGAGTATTCACAATATTATATTAAATATTCCAGTTGACATTCAACTGCAGCAAACTTACCTAGCTCGCTGGAGCATAAGATATGTATGTACAGTGGGTGCCTGTGGTAGCATTTCAGATTCTGGTCATTTTGTGACATAAACTTGTAACGCCAAAAAGTTGCATAGCTGTATCACGTTGTTTGCTGCTAAAAGGTACATTCGTTCTATCCATTTTAACACTAAAGTTGTTTTCAAGTTTAATAAGGCAAAAAAGATGACTGCATGCTAGCTTACTGTCTGTCACAATTTATTGCAAAATTACTAAACTGGGTAATATATAGCCATAACCAAAATATTTTGGGTTAAAAAGTTAACAATGGCATCACAGATGGAAGAACACAAATTGGTCGGTCATGTTAAAGGGCAGTGCGTCCATCCTGGCCTACTGATCGTTTCGCACCCTTTTACTTAAATTATAGCACCGCGAAGTATTAGTCTATTGCTGTTGCAGTTTGCTACACTTTGGGCTCCTTTGTTGATATTCCGTCATTATTACAATATTGTTCTTTGTGTTGTAATCACTAATTATCGCCAAGTAGCAATGGACTGCATCCGTCTCACTACATCAATTACAAGTATTAGACGGTGGTCCCATTAAGTCTGGCTATACCTAGTGACTCAATGTATTTATGTTGAATGTTTTGGCAATAATTATATTTATCAACATCAGCAAGTGTTTGTATATATTTATTGTAGCTGTTGGGTGTTCAGATTGAACAAAGCAATGGTTGAACACCGCTGGTTGTCAATATAGATTTTGCACAGGCTTTTATACATTTTGTGAACGGTAAATTCTGCCCTACGGGATAATTTGACGTGGATACGTATATAAAAACTCAAAAAAAAATTAAGTCCATTACTGCTGTTAAGTAATTTATATGAACATCATAGGCCAAATTATATTATTAAAATCGCTTTTTGGGGACAATTGAAAACTGATATTTCAAACTGATATTGTCTGAGAGCAATCTAAGTTGCTTTTCACTGTTGCGCTTTATTACGAAGGGGTAATTATCAACTTTACATCGAAATGTTTCATAAACACTCTTTTCTAATTAGAAGAAGTTTCAGGTTTTCCGAACATTACTATAAAAAATGTTGTCTAAATAACTGATATTCCCTACACAGATTCTTATATCCAGGTTAAGATTTAAGTGAAGACTACAATTTATAATCCTATTTTAAATGTCCATGATATGTGTCATTGTACTAAACTGCAATAAATTTAGTTCGTATTTCTGTATCTGGTTGGGTGTACAAATAGAACGGATCGTTTTGAAACGCTTTCTGACATATTGCGGAAGACGTATCCCAATCGTGTTCGTTTCAGTCAGACAATTCAATCCACATTCTCAGGTAGATAAATTATCAAACTAGAATATGAACTGAATTTGATCTTCATGTGCTAGTTTTAATATCAACTTACAAGTTACTACAAATGTTTTTATTGGCGAATATAATCCTATTTGTTTAAAATAAATTCATTTTTTCGCTAAGAGATCTATAAATTAACCGTGCAGTTTTTTAAAACAAAGTCTTCGTAGAGTAAACATACCTAACGTCTGACACTCGTGTCACAATTTTGTGTACCATACAATGCGTTCAACTGATTTTGTATACGTTGAATAATCTCTATATATATTCACTATAGTTATTGACCTTTAATGAGGTCACAATCACATGTTGTGCAATCCCCAGCGTCATCAAACATTTGTCTCATATTCTTTGCTGTGTTTTTCATGCTTTATACGTGTGTCAAATCAGACATCTATGCATTGAAGATGAAATATTTTGTCACTTTTTGACCAGTCAAGTGAGGTGTGCGATATCAAAATTGTCTTGGTTCTACTTTAGATCACTGACAGTGCTGTTATATTATACAATAAGAACTTACATACCCTGTGCAATTATGATGGTTACCCAGATCAGAACATCAGATAAGTATAGATGAGTTGGGCATCTACAATTAATTATATTAGATGTCCACTTTCACTATCACCGGTGATTTATGTATTGGAATTGTTTCAATAATTGAATCACCATTATATTTACGATTTAGTGATTTCCGTGTTAAGATGAGTTCAGGCTTTAATATTGAGCATTATCTTCTGCTTCTTGTTGTCATCTCGGCTGTTGAGGACCCTTCTAGAATCGACTTGCGCACGCTTCTCCAAGTCACACGATTCTGGGCTAGCTTCGTGTCAATGTATAGCTGGTGGCCAGTTCATTACTTGATGTCGCCGTGCCACTGACATCTGGGTCGGCCACTTCCTCTTCTACGATCTACTTTTCCTGTGAAGACGGTTTCTGCAAGCTGTCATGTAATGTGGCCAAAATATAAAAACTTGTGTGTTCGTATTCGAGATTGAAGTCTTTTCTCAACTCCAAATCTTGTCAAAACTACCTCGTTTGTCACTCTATCTTTGTAGCTAACTCTTGCCAAGCACCTGAATATCCACATCTCAAGGGCTTCAAGTTTTTTGACTGATTCTACTATGTTTCTTCGCCGTAGAGGTGTATTGATTATATATAGAGGTGGCTCTAAATCTGAGAACTAGTGAAATGTCTCTTGATATAAAAATATCAATTAATTTGATGAACATTGATTTGGCTTGTGCAATGCAAATCTCGATTTCTTTGTTACTTTTGCCTTCGTTGGTAATTGTTTGACCTAGATATTTAAATTGCTGTACTTGTTCCAGTTGTTTTCTGCCAATTTGATTTTAGCTTGAATGTCTTTACTAATGACCATTGTTTTCGTTTTCTTCACATTCATGTCAAGACCTTTTGCTCACTTGTTCTCTTCACTTCATCAAAGATTTTTTGAAGATCCTCGTCGATGTTGGCCAGCGTGGTGGTGTCGTCAACGTGGCGTATGTTGTTGATGTTTGTGCCGTTGATGTTGGGACAAATCAATTTTGTTGTAGCCTATATATATCCGTCAATTTTCCGTATCAGAGAAAGGTTAAAGCGCCTTTCATATCAATTTGCAATTAAGCCATAGTGGCAGCCTCAGAATGTTAGCCAGTCAAGTAGGTCTTCGCAACCCTTTTATGAGTAGCATTGAACTTAAATTTGAAAATGCCATTTTTCAAGGAAGCCTCAAATTCATATTCAACAGAGTACTACCACTCAGGCATTTCGAGTGTTACTCTAGTTTTGATATCAGTTACTCATATTCTATTTTATGCAAAATCATTTTCCTTATTGGGAAAACAGTGGAATATTCTGGTATCTGAAACTGTTAGTATATATTAAGGTAACCTAACAAAGCGCAGCTGTGACCTTAAATTGTGTTTTTCTGTGTTGCATTTGTTGGAATATTATAGAATATAGCAGGATATGTTGTGGATAAAGATGCTAAGTATGAGTACTTACAAGTATTCGATTCTTATCCGATTCCTAAATTTTCGATTCCGATTCTCGATTCCAAATTTCGATTCTTCGACATAGCTTACAGAGAAATTAAACTATACTATATAAAATTAAACAAGTGCGAGATGTGCAAATAGATGGACACGAAAACCTAAACTAAGTAGTAATGATTTTCAATCTGTCGTCGAATCCCTCAGAGAAATAAATAAACGTAATAATAGCCTTCTAGTGGAAAATAACAATTTTCAACCACTGAATATTTCTTAGCAATTGGTCCAAAAGGCAAAAATCTAATGCAATGTCAAAAGCTCAATTCGCTCACAGGTCTTTCTGTAAGTTTGATCGGAATTCGGATACGGAAAGCTCCTCTGAGATAAATGCTCTTTCTGATGCAACGGGTCACAGAGGTAATTCTGATCGACAACTGCGATGTTTAGATACATTTTTTTTCGTTTGGTTGCCATCATTTTGACATTTTTTCTTGGGTCGCGGATATGGCAATGGCAAGAGCTATATCATTCAAATATTTTGATAAAGTTTGCGGCGTTGTAGCAACTCCACATAGCAGTTCATACATATATGTGAAGGACTTGTCACAAAACGTTTTTTGCAATCCAAGTTTTAACCTTAGGAATCGATTCCAATGCACCGGAATCGATTCTACTCGATTCCACGAAGAATCGATTTCGGAGTCGATTCTGCCATCCCTAGTTGTGTAACATCAGACCAACGGGCAGTGTATACCAATAAAACTAGGGTAAACTGGAGTAGTGAAACGCACAAACAGATCATTTTAGCAACGAAATGATAATTGCTTGTCGCTGCAGTAGTGAAATTTTAACACTCGAGATATTGGAAAATAAATAGCAGTTTTTATCTGCAAGGTATTTTCTGAGCAGACTATGTGTAAACAATGTAAACACAACTGTAGCTATAAAAAGTCGATGTACATATGCATGTTAACTTTATAAGTGAACCAGGTTAGTTTCAGAAATATGATTTAATAGTAAAATATGCGTTATGCGTATTTACCAAAACCTATTTCCTTTGTTCGGCAAAACATATTATAGTCACATTGATGATTTGGCAACACCTTTGCTTGGTATTATACGCATACTAATCCATCAGCGAAAGTGCATAGAGGATGGCTAAGTAGTCGTACCTAACCTCGATGAATAATAATTGCAAACATCAGGAGTTTTGGTCAAATTCAAGCAGCTATTGGAGTAGTATCATTCCACCGAAATATATCATGACGCTTAAAATATTAAAAACTCATCCAAATATACTGATAAGCAACACGATAATTTTTGTCACGAACTGGCCATAGATTACATCAACATCAACGCAAAATTAAGAATAACGTTTAGCTTCGACAAATATGATTGAAAGTGGAATCGAGTAGATGACGTCTTTTCGTTTAAATATACGCTATGCCACCCTCCGGCATCAGAAGACCACATTTCGAACGACGGCTATTTAAGGTGGTTTGTTACAAGTTTGCGGAGTATCTAAATTTTCGTCTCGCTGCTTCGATGTAACTTGCGGGTAGAGATGGGTGTAAAAAAATCCATAAGTATAAAATTTCTTTTTTAGAATCACAAGGCTTGTTAGTACGCAGCTGTGCTACTTCAATTAGTCCAATTTTTCTGGAAAAATTTCTTGAAGTTGGATGATCACAAACACCAAACCACATGGGTTGTTTGTCAACTCCTGATAATTGCAAACGTCTGCGTGCTGCTTCCATCAGCAGTTGAATTCCTTTATCGGCAAACATGGTGCCGATACTCCCTCCTCTGCATTCATCATCAATAACTAGAAAATCGCCATAAATGATTTTCATTCCAAATTCATCCGCCAAATCATACATTTTACCGACATAAGTCTCCATTTCCCACTCATCGTGTCTAAATTATATTGTTGCAGATATTACTACCGATTTTATTGGTATTTGGAGAAAATAAAAATAATATTGATAAAAATTTTTTTTTTATATTCTGGAGAGCCATTAGACTGAGCATTCACTGCTTTCGTTTAAAGAAAATATTAAAAGGAGTGTTTAGTTGTTTTTAATACCAAATGTATTTTTGTTATGACATACACAAATATCCAAGAATACAGTGCGAGCTGATTACATTAACGTCATATGAGACTTTAATAAAAAAATGTTATCAATCGCGAATTGAAAAATTTCGAGTATGTGTGGCGATAATAAAAGATGAATATAATTTCTAATTTTTTAGTTGTTCTCACGTATCCATACTTTTGATGTCTTTTCCATCCTTCTCCATCGATATCAGCAAAACGACTGAAAGCTTTCTTTGCCAAATCTTCATCTTCCTCCATTGAGCATGCTGTCGCTCCAACTATTTTGACTTTGTCAGCTTTCCTCGTTTTAATAAGTGCTAGAAATCCTCGCCCGTCTTTAAATATAGCTGGATATAGATATTCATAATACACAGCAAGAAATTTTTGTCTAATATCCGGATCAGGGTGTGTGTAAATATATAGAGGATCATTTTGAAAAGCTCGTTGACATATTTTGAAACTTGCCAACCAGTCAGTTTCATTATCATCAGATAATTCAATCCACGTGCTAAAAAACAAGATAGCAAAGCTCAAATATATGCACAACGAATACTTTACCCAAATTTCCCTCAAAACACCTCCTGAACAAAGCTGAAACTGTAGAACAGCGACCGTAACTTATCAGTACAGATACTGGGACCCGGTCTTTCCCAGGTTTACCAGGTCCTTTTACGATGATAATTCATATGTCCCATTGGTACTCAACCCCCTTTTCTCTCGTGGCCCAATTTTGTTACACAAACAATTCTGTGGCCCATTAACTTAATCATATAGGGCAGGGATGGCGAACCTTTTCCAATGAATGGGTCAAAAATTATATTTTTATCGCGTAACAGAAGAGAGTGGGTCACAGTTACTTAATCAATGTTTGTATCTACAATTATGAAACTTCTGGAACAAATCTTATAAGCTTCTGTTGGCGTTGGTGTAGTTTTGGGCTTCACTTATGCAAGGTTCTAACAGGGATTTTATGTGGCACTCGATTTTATGAAATTAGAGTACGAAAACACGCATATGAATTACCATAAACGTTTATGATGATGCGGCAAACTATTTTAAGGTTCCAGTGTTTGGAGGGAATTCCACTCTAATAGTGTTATATATATTTTTTGATCAGCTTTCAGCCACATTAATACACTTTTTTATTTCATAAACGATGCCAGAGCCAATAAATGATTAACGGTACACAGCGGTGCAGACATTGAGACATGCGTTCATTTGAATCCACATTTGAATATGAGCGATCGCAGTCCTACTGCCCAACTGACGGTACATTGTTTATAATAGTTTAGGTATTGTTAAATTATTTTTAGGCCGGTTTTATAAATTTTTATCACTGATATGTTAACATTTTTTAAATTTTATTCGTACCATGGTGGGTCACGGATAAAACATGGTGGGTCACTTTGTGACCCGCGGGTCAGTGGTTCGCCATCCCTGATGTAAGGGAAAAACTACAAGAAAAACAAAAAATTCCTTTTCGTAAAGATAGACACTTCCACTTTAATAATTAAAATGAGAATTACCACTCTGTAGAAAAAACAGTTTTATCGTTCATTGCCACTACGATTTTGACTGATTTTTCAATATCTTTGGCAATTTTTAGTATGTTTGTGGCCCACCGGAGCCATGACCCACTGGTTATCGAACCTTATCTAAAATCTTCCGACTATCGCTGAGCAGGAGATCCCCTAATTGCGATCACGGAACCGCAGCAAGGTGGCAATTTTTAAATTTGATGATGTAATAAAACAAAATTTTTGAGTGTTAAAACGAACCCCAAGCCTTCTAACGACAACAACAATCTTTAACCACTAGAATTTAACGAGAAAAAAATACTAATCAAGGATACTAACAACTTAACAAAACACGATCCATAGGTCCACTTGGTGTACAACGAATATGTCGCTCAAATATTTAGAATAAGGCATGAAAAATCATGTTTTTCAGATCCAGAATCCATTCTGCATTGTGACTTTGCGATATAACATTGCGCCTTTCACACTTTTCAATGTATAATTAAGACAAGTTCGGTTTATCCCGTGGTCACAAAAATGATAAATAAACATTTCCGACAATGCTCCACAAATAATTACTTACTTTACTGATTGATACTTACCTTTCTGTATCTTTTGAGGACGTCATTTCAAATATTTTCGTTAGTAGTAGCTGATCAGTAGTAAAGACGCGTAAATATGAGTACTCGTTACACAATATCCTTGTGCGACAAAGTTGCAACGCGTACAATTGTTTAGAGACCGACTGCAGTACGCGACTGGCAAAAACGTTTTATTGGGTTCAGATTTGGATATTGATATATGAAGCATTTCCGTTGCGTAAGGTCTGAACAAAAACAGAAAATTCCAATGGATTTTTAAAATTATTCCAACACTGACACTATCATTTTATCCCGTTCGTTAGCTTATGTAGTAAAAGACGGCAATAATATGTGTCCGTATAAATTTTCAAAACAAATGATTTGAATGACTTTTACTAACGTGTATCATAGTCCGGGTGATTGGATTAAATACGGAAAATCACAGCTAAGGTGCCCGAGTTCGAGTTGCTGTGTAACTGCCACGCACCACAACATGTCGTTGCGTGTCAACTTAAGAAAAGAAATCAAATATAATTTGAATAGTTTACTTTATGTCAATTAAAATTCCTTCGCATATTTCTAATTGTTGTATAAATCAAAATATTATATAATCAGCGATTTTGTCAACTCGAAAAACTGATTTCGTTTAAGGCTTGATTTTGTGTGACCAGGTATTGAAAACATTTTTCTGTATTGTATTGTATTGATGGGGATGTTCGGCAGTTACCAAGATGTACAGCGGGCAGTGAATGTGAACATTTTTAAAATATTGGACTAAACTATACTAGGCAAAAAGCCATGTTTTACCTATTTTGTTTGTTTCAGTGACAAGTGGCATTATTTATTGAACAATCGTGTATATGGAGATGAAATACACACACTTAAGATGAAATGCTGCGATTATGGCATTGATTTTCAAATCAAAGCTATTTTAAGCGACCCTCGCATTTTCCTTTAACTGTAGCCTACTTGATTTTTTGAAGTCCACCAAAAGAGTACTCACAATGTTATATTAAATATTCCAGTTGACATTCAACTGTGGCAAACTTACCTACCTCGCTGGAGCATAACAATATGTATGTACAGCGGGTGCTTGTGGTAGCATTTCAGATTCTGGTCATTTTGTGACATAAACTTCCAAAACGTTGCATAGCTGTATCACTGTTGTTGGCTGCTAAAAGGTACATTCGTTCCATCCATTTTAACACTAAAGTTGTTTCTAAGTTTGATAGGCAAAAAATATGACTACATGCTAGTTTACTGTCTGCCAGAATACTGTTCTACAGTGTTGGATATTTGCTGGCACAATTTATTGCAAAATTACTAAACTAGGTAAGTTTCTTAGCTTGCTTAACGTCTCCAAAATTAACTACCAATACCTTTGGACAACCACCAGGTTCAAAAATACAGTTTAGAAAATGGAGAAATGCAAATGAATTTATGTACATTTTTAGCATAAAGATAAGCAGTTCATTTTTTACGAGTTATCATGCATGTGGACGATTCCCCGGCACTTGACCGCTGAAAAATAAAGTCGCTAATGACGTTTGCGGTTGCATTTTGTTTACATTTCCGATTGTTTTTGTCAGCGTGACATGTTATTTAAGTCGTAAAAATCTTTATTTAGGTGTTTATTTTCCCTAAATCGAAAATTTCCCTCGACATAAGTTTTGTGCCGCGAAGACGATGATAATAACTTTTTTCGTTCTCACGTGGAACCATGACACCTGTGAGGAAAATGAGTTAGTTTTCATCATATATTCATCAGCAACGAGATGCTAAATATAGAATAAAAAAATGAATCCGCAACCAATTCTTGATTGAAAAGGCGGCATTTTAAAATACTGAAAATAAAACGGAAAGCATCAGAAGTTTTGTTTTGGAATGGATCGCGACAGATTAAAAACACTTTCTTAGACATTGCAAATCATGAATTCCTTGTGCCTAGGGACCCCCTGTAGTGTTCTAAAACTAGCGACTTGAAATAAAGTTTACTCCGTGGGATTTTATCGCAGACTTAGGAAATTTTCTAACAGTAATATCTTAAAAATAATAGAGTGTGCAACATTGCAACGGAGCGGAATAAGAGTTGCAGGGACTGCTCATATTGGTATAGTTTGCAAGAATACGAATCAAAACAAAATGTAATCGGGCACTTTGCCACACATTTTTCTGCCCGCGGATTGCCGTGGTATTTTGTTGTAGTGGTTTCAAATCACAGATTTAATTCATCACAATTAAATAAATAAAACAACCATTTTAAATATCTGTATTGGTCATGGGTTGAATATTTTATTCAACAGAAAGTGATTTTAAAGAAGAAATTTCAAACTTATGGATTTTCCTACACCCATCTCTACCTGCAAGGTATATTGAGGCAGCAAAGCGAAAATTTAGATGCCCTGCACATTTGTAACAATCCGATGTACTTGAAGACCTGTTACTTCAAGTCTGTAGACAGAATAACTATACTTCCGTCTGATACTTCCGTTGGCAGTACTGGGCATGAAGTCATTGGACTGGATCAGGTAATGTCATTCTGACTCGTGAAAGTAAAAAAAAAGAAAAAGAAAGTGAATTGGCTTTTGTAAGTTGACCATCAATGGTTCAGTTTATATATATGTGAGTAAACCGGTAGAGCGATGACCACTTTTAGATATCATCAGTCAAGATATCAGGAAGCATAGTCCGTTTAAAATAGTTTCGACAGACATAGCGCTAATTTTGTTGTAAAAATAAAAAGGGAATTCGAACGATATAAATAATATAGCGTAAGTGATTTACCTAGTTAATATGAATAAGTACATCAACCATGTTGTATTTATGTTGTTTACACATAGAATGTTCAAAGAATAGTTTGCAGATAAAAACGGATATTCGTTTTCAAATGACCTGAGTGTTGAAATGTCGCTACTGCAGTAACAAAGCAATGCTTACTTTTGCACCATTGTCTAAATACGACTGAATTACATGCAAAATGGATAAATATAACGGACAGTGATAATTCGTCTATATTCAATGTTGAGAACAAACATGCAAACAAAATGCTATTTGATAAACACATGACAGCAATACCGTAATTTCGTCATATGTAAAGGGAGGAACAGATCCTCGTGATGTTAGAAAGTGTGCAATAACCAGCAGAGTTTGTGTGACGTTGCTAATATAAAAATTTAATCGGCAAAATCGGCTTATAGCCTAGGTAATAGGTATACAGTATTCAAGAAACATATCTGAAGCCAGGTACAGAGCCACCAATGCGAAGGTTTATTGGAGTATTTTGTGATAGTGCTTTTATTTTACCATAAGTCGACGCAAAGGCGAGTTACGATGAACATAATTAAATTAATATGGCAAGACATTTTACATGCACGCATCGGCCATGTATTGAATATTTTACGCAACAGAAAAAAGTCGGCTATTTCAAGAGTAGCATAATTGGGGCGCCTGTGAGAGGGGCCGTTGCATGAGGATTTTTTATACCGATTCTTGAAAATACTTGTCCTAAAATGCATGAGTGGCAGTACTCTGTCGGATATGAATTTGATGCTTTGATAAATGGCGCAGAAATTTTCAGGCTCTTTTAAATTTTAGTTCAATGCTACTTATAAAAAAGTTGCAAAGACCGACCCACTTGACTGGCTAACCTTACCTAAACCACGATGGCTTAACTTACAAATCGATATCAGAGGAGTTTCAACCCTTCATTGATGATGCTCATTTAAATCCGGAACTCACCTTAACACGAAAATCATTTATCCTAAATATAATTATGATCCAATTATTAAAACAATCTCAATACACTGATTACTGATGATGACAAAAGTGAACATCAAATTCAAGAAACCGTAGGAGCCAAACTCATCTGCATTTACCTGCTGTTGTGATCTATGTAATAATCACAATTGTAGAGAATATGTAACTTCTCACTGTACTATATAACGATACTGTAATAGATGTGAAGTGAACACAAGACATTTTTGATATCGCACACCTTACTTGACTGGTCCCCAAGCGTCGAAATAATTTATCTTTGAGTTAAAGATTTGACTGCCGCATAAAAACACCTATGATGATCCTATAACGGTCAATTGCTCTGGTATATACAGACTAATATGCAATCTATACGAAATGAGTCTTTGAACAACGTTTCAATCTTCCGTCAAAGCCTTTTATGGCACACAAAATCGTAAAACGAGAATCTGAATTTAGGTATGGTTAAATAATCTTCGAGGATTTTGTACTATACAACTGGTTAGAAAAAAATTTATACATCTTAGTGGAATAATGAATTATTTATATCTATTTTGATTAAATAGGATTATATTTGGCAATAAAAACAATGGTATTAATTTAACAGTAAAACTAGCACATGAAGATCAAATTAATGCGAATAAGTATATATACATCAACTATGTTGTTTACACATAGGCTGCTCAAAGAATAGTTTGCAGATAACTACTAATATTAGTTTTCAAATTATCTTGAGTGTTAAAATGTCGCTTCTGCAGCAACAAAGCAATGTTTACTTTTGCAGCATTGTCTAAATACGACTGAGTTGCATGCAAAATGGATAAATATAACGGACAGTGAAAATCCGTCTATATTTTAACGTTGAGAGCAAACATGCAAACAAAATGATATTTGATAAACACATGACAGCAATACCGTGATTTCGTGATATGTAAAGGGTGGAACAGATCCACGTGATGTTAGAAAGTGAGCAATAACCAGCAGAGTTTGTGTGACGTTGCTAATATGAATTTTTACTAGGCGGAATCGGCGTATGCAGTTGGCTATTCAATAAACACGTCTGAAGCCAGATATGAGGCCATCAAGCGAAGGTATATTGATTGATGTGTGGTTAAGATCGAGTGAGCTCAACCAATCGTTATATCTATTTTGCTACGATGATGTGCGTTTCACTTCACCAGTTAACGATAGCTTTATTGTTATGTTGGTCTGATGTTCTAAATCTTGAACATCCTGGCTGATTCAATAACATTCCAAAAAATGCAATACAGAAAAACTGCGAAGTCACAGCTGCGCTGTGTTAAGTTAGCAAGGGGGGTGTTTGAGGCTCTTCTATGTCTTCAGATAGCCGTAGTATTTCATAGTAGTGCTTTTATTTTACCGCAAGTCGGCGCAAAGGCGAGTTACGATGAACACAATTGAATTAATATGACAAGACATTCTAAATGCGCGTATTGTCCATAGATTGAGTATTTTAGGCAACAGAAAAAAATATTATCCGTTGGAAAAGTAAGCTGCTAAAGTCGGCATTATTGCGGCGCGATAAAGTGAGACAGATTCGAAAAAGTGAATAATTTGCCTTTGGCCGGATTTTTACTTGGTAATATTTGAATGTTGGGTTTGTTAATGGACGCAGTGAACAGTTTAGTGATTAAAAAATTACACTATCGTTTTTTGTTTTTATAACAGTTCTCAAACCCGGTATTTAATGCCTATGTCATATATTTAATGTCAAAGGAATGTCATTGTCAAGAATGCAGAAATTTCAGAACTCACTTTCAATTGATTGAAATTAGGCCCATGAAATCAATGAATTTATTTCAGATTTAATAATATAAATTTAAAATATTCAACAAGTATACAAAGTGTTTTTATGTTGCCAATGCAGAAAATTTGTTTAAGGGATTTTTTGAAAAAATATCTGAAATATCTTGGTTGAACATTGATTCCAAAAATATTAAATCTCCATTTTCTATGTCCCCCCGTTTTTCAAATGATACTGTTGAATCTTTCCTTAGTTTTAAGGACATACTTCGATTAATTTAACAGAATTCCCCTTTGTGCGTCAGGGTCTGTCCGAATGTGCCCCACTCGTGGGATACAGTGGGAGACAAACGTTTTTTTTTTCAAAGCATTTTGGCGGTGAGATGTATGTTGCGAGGGAATTTCTTAGTCGCTGAATAAAAAGCACATTTACTCCTCTCCGCATTTGCCCCGCAAAATGAAATGAAAGTACAGAATATAGAACTCAAAATATGCAGAAGAAAAAAAAGTGTCTCAACCTTCCACACTTTCCCCTACTAAGTTTCTAGCTACCGGAATATTCCATTATTTTCTTAATGAGGAAGATTTCTTATTTAAATGCACATAAAAAGATGTAGGATAAAATTTTGATGACCCTGTGGATTCTCACAGTCACAATCTGTGATTGTGACCACACTAACGGTCAATTGCTCTGGTATATACAGACTAGTATGCAATCTATACAAAATGAGTCTTTAAACCACGCTTTCGTCGTCAATTAACGCCTTGTATGGCACACAAAATTGTAACTCGAGAGTCCGAATTTAGGTATGGCTAAATAAGCTCTGAGGAATTTGTTCTACGAAACTCGTTAGAAACAATTTATAAATCTCATCGAAAATATGAAATTATTTACATCTATTTTAAATAAATGGGATCAGTATTAACTTAATAGTATACTAGCACATGAAGATCAAATACAGTTCATGTTTTAGTTTAGTAATTCATCTACCTCAGAATGTGGATTGAATTGTCTGATGGAAAAGAAAACGATTGGGATACATCTTTTAAAATATGTCAAAGAGCTTTTCAAAATGATTCGTTCTATATGTATACTCATCCAGATGCGGAAATACGACGGAAATTTTTAGCGGTGTACTACAATGACACATATCTTGGACATTTGAAAGAGGGTTATGGATTGTTATCTTTACTTAAAGTGAAAGAAGGCAATGAAATAAAAATAATTGGTGCGATAGCTGGTTCATACATTTCAGGAAAAGAACTCAGCAAAGAAGACGATGATCGCTTGTCTCAGATCGATAAGGAAAGTTGGGAAAGGTATAAAAGGTAAGAACGTTTTTATTTTAAATTATACAATTTGAGGTTTACAATTTTGCAGATTCTTACTCAAAATATTATGTTAGTTTCTTAGAATAAGATTTTACCTTCCCTAATTCAATAAATATTTCATTCAGGCACGCGGAATGGGAGGAACAATCATACGAAAACGAATTCGGAGAATTGGGTGAAAAATTAGGGGTTACTGTTATTTATGGAATTTTTCACGCTATTGCTGACGGATATAGAGGAAAAGGAATAGGATCAAAATTTTTACTGAAAGCAATGCAAATGCAAAGTGATGAAGTAATGAGACGCGAAAAATTAGCAGGAATACCTAATTCAAAAATGCCTTTTTCCTACGCTATTTCTGACCATCCAAAATCTAGAAACTTTTGTAAGAAGATCGGCATGATTGAATTGGCTCAAGTGAGATCTTACCAACCAGCTGATTTGTGCAAAGAGCTTTCGTATATGTGGATTTTTGTTCTTCCATCTTTGCCTTTAAGTTATATCAATGCTGCCAAAAAAATTTTTGTTCTGCCAGCAAACCTGTGAATGTCTCGATAAATATTACAATGTCCTAATGGATTATTCAAAGCGTTGGGACAAAATAAGTGTGTGTGTGTGTGGTATGAAAATATATGGAGCTTTTAGCAATTTGAGTCTTTTGCGCTAGACAATTCAAAACCGAATCTTGGTGAACTTCACAAAATCAAGTATAGTGAAAGGAAACGACGACAGTCGCTTGAAATAGCTCTGATTTGAGAATCAATGCCATAATCGCAGGATTTCATCTTAAATGTGTGTCTTTCATCTCTATATACACGACAGTTCATTAGAAAATATTTCATTGTCTCCAAAAAAAAAAAAATGAGTAAAACATGGCTTGTTGCTTAGTATGATACATCTTGGTAACTGCCGAACATCCCCATCAGTTAAATACAATAGAGAAAAATGTTTTTAATACCTGGTCACACAAAATCAAGCCTTAAACGAAATCAATTTTTTGAGTTGACAAAAGCGCTGATTATATAATATTTTAAATTATACAACAATTAGAAATATGCGAGAGAATTTCGATTGACATATAGAATACTATTTGAATTATATTTGATTTATTTTCTTAATTTGACACGCCACGACATGTTGTGATGCATGGCAGACAAACGGCGACTCGAACCAGGGCACATTAGCAGTGGTTTTTCATATTGAATTCAATCACGCCTGACTATTCCATATGTTAATAAAAGTCATTCAAATCATTTGATTTGAAACTTCATACATTACTTACGCAAACCACGAAGTTTTTTCGTCTTATACTACACAAGCTAACACAGAGGATCAAATAGTGTTGTCGGTGTTGGAATAATTTTAAAAATTCATTGGCATTTTCTGTTTTTGTTCAAACCTTGCGTAACGGAAATGCCTCATTTATCAATATCCAAACCTAAACCCAATAAAAAGTTTTTGCCAGTCGCGTTTTGAAGTCGGTCTCTAAACAATTGTACGCGTTGCTACATTTTTTGCACAAGAATATACTGTATCGAGTACTGATATTTACTTGTTTTTACTACTGATCAGTTACTACTAACGGAGATATTAGGAATGACATCGTCAAAAAATACGAAGAGGTAAAGTAAGTAATTATTTGTGTAGCATTGTCGAAAATATTTATTCAGCATTTTTGTAAGCATGGGATAAACCAATCTTGTCTTAATTATACATCGAAAAGTGTGACATACGCATTGTTATATCCCAAACGCGGCCTCATCATCTGTGGCCTGTTTCGCATTTGGCATCTGCTGGAGGTTAAATCAAAAACGCATTTGGTGTTGTCTAATCATAAAAATGTTTTGACATAGAAAAATGAAAATCGAATGCGATATCTATTAGCTTAGGTTGGCTTATGCATGATAACTAAATATTAATGTTATGGCCTGACATTATAAATCCCGCCTAAACAGTATTACAAAAAAAGATGTCTCTATGTCAGAAAATTTAGTAATTACTCTCCTCACATTTGGTAATAAATCAACCTGCAGTGATTTGTAAACTGTAAACATGAGTTTGAAAAAAATCTGACCAATTCAAACAGATTTTTAACTGGATATAGGAGAGTAGAGGGTTGATGGTAATTGAACTGAGAATTAGCATTCACATACTTTTGATGTCTTCTTCAACCTTCTTCGTCGATATCAGCAAAACGACTTTCTCCATCAAAACTTCATCTTCCTCCATTGAGCATGCTGTCGCTCCAACTATTTTGATTTTGTCAGCTTTCCTCGTTTTAATGAGTGCTAGAAATCCGCGCCCTTATTTAAATATTGCTGGATATAGATATTCATAACACACAGCAAGAAATTTTTGTCTAATATTTGGATCAGGATGTGTTTAAATGTATAAAGGGTCATTATGAAAAGCTCGTTAGCATGTTTGAAAACTCGCCAACCAGTCCCGTTCATTACCATCAAATAACTCAATTCACATGCTGAAAAAAATAAAAGAGCAATGCTTAAATATATACCGTGAAGGCCAAGTCGAAATATTTTACCCACAATAGCTCCAAAATCATATCCTGGACAAAGCTGGGATTGCGGAATAGCCACTGTAATTTACCAGTACCGGTACCGGTACCACCCGGACTGTACCAGCTTTGGTCTGAGACCGATAATGATTCAGCTTCTAGTCTCGATGTAAATCAAATGATTGAATAATCCACAAGTGTAATATCAAGTCTTTCACCGTACCGTATCATACCGTACTCCTTTTCCAAAAACTTTCAGACATTTGCTGAGCACGAAATCCGCTGCTTGCGTTTATGGAATCGCTGCACGGTGCGCAATTTTTAATTTTCATGGCGTCATCACACAAAACTTCGTAGGGAAAAACGGATCTCATAGAGCCCAAAGGAATTTCAAAAATTAATTAAAGAAATAGCATTCTAGCGACAACAACAATCTTCAGCCACTAACAATTTCAAAGCTATTTGTACAGTACTTGAAAAGAAAAGCAATTTTTTCACAAACAAGAAAAAAGAAGAAGAAGAATACCAAATATACCAACAGCAACAACAAAAATTCGACACAACAATCTATAGGTCCGATTTGTATCCAAGTGTCTAACAAACATGTCGCAAAAATATACTTTTATATTAAAGTGAAGAAATGAAAAAGCATGTTTTCTCGGATAACGAATCCATTTTGCATTGTCACCTCGGGATATAATATTGTGAAAATTGTGAAATTGTGATTTCAATTGCATTATGAGTTATATGCAACGGCAATCGTCCAGAAATCGTTAACATATCGTAAATTCATTTCATTGGAGAACGTGGGACCGCGGAAAATATACGGTGTAGAAAATAGTCACAAGCTCTTCTCGTCATGTTTACTTTACTCGTATTTTTCGTATTCGTGCAATTCCAAATAAAAATTAAATCGCAATGCCCAATTACGCTTGAATCAGCGAGTTATTTTAGAGGTTTTGGTCTTCGTTTATAATGCTTAGGCGTCTATTGCACGTATAAAATTATCATTCTTTTTGGTTGTGCCTTCGTATTCCTATTATTCGTGTTCGAACAATCAAAATTATTTTATTTAATTCAGAATGTGGATTGAATTATCAGAACGCAAGGAAAGTGATTGGAGAAAATGTTTTAAAATATGTCAGCGAGCATTTCAAAATGATCCTTTCTACACTTACACACACCCGGATCCAGAAATTCGGCGAGAATTTTTGAAAGTCTATTTCGACTATTTATATCCAGCTATTTTTCAAGATGGCAAAGGTATATTAGTTGTAATAAAAGCTGAAGACGAGGAAGGAATCAAAATAATTGGTGGAATGTCAGTTACAATGTATCAGGATGAGGAATTAGAAAATGATCACACAGCTTTACTAGCAGTTGATAGAGACGGTTGGATGAAACATTCAAGGTAATACTTACTACTTATTTGATAAAACTTTACATTTAATGTGTTCAATGTTTTCAGTGCTCCAGTGCTCAATTTCGGCCAAAGGTGTTTGATATAGTACTTGTTCATCCCTCACATCACTGTCTGGATTACCATAGAATAATTGTATTATTACCTATGATCCATTTGTTATATTTATAGACGTGATGACTGGGAATATAAAACCTATTACTATAAATTACAAGAATTGGCAGACAAATTAGGTACAAACCTTATGCCTGGCGTGTTTCAAATAGTGGATGATGGCTACAGAGGAAAAGGTATTGGATCAAAATTCGTCATGCAAGCGGTGCAGATGATGAGTGACGAAGTCGTAAAAAGAAAGCGTCTCGCTGGAATAGCAAACCCAAAACCTCCCCTGGCTCATTGCATCTGTGATCATGAAAGGTCTAGGAATTTCACGAAGAAAAGTGGATTCATAGAAGTGGCTCAATTACGTACAAATAACGTTGGAGTTCTAGGCAAAAATACATCCCATATATGGATATTTTTACTTCCACCTGAGGATCCGAGTTGGATTTATGAAGCCAGAAAAATGTTTGCTCATTCATCGAATCTGTAAACATTTCTTTTTGTGCTCCATACTTATCAGGCACATATAAGCATTGCGGGACTTATGTGAACTAACTCGAATTAAATAGTTTCTCAGCTGCCAATGTTTGACGGAATAATAGTCTGGAGGAAATTACTAACAGTCATGAGTTATACCCTTTATAAAAACCATGATTTTTTTGCAGAATAGATTACTGCCTTTTATCAAATTCTTGTGCTAATACTAAAAAACATTATCAGATTATTTTTTATGTCTTATGTCTTGATTGTCTTTGCAATATATATGATTTTGTGCAATATATTATATTCCATTTTCTTCGGATTTTTTGTATATAAATGAAGTGACATATATTATATAAATATATATAACTATTTCTCGGAATAATGATTTTCTTTTATAGATACCAGTTACATTCCACTAAAAATATTATGTTAGAAGTATTTTGGAATACTACTTCTCTTTATGATATTAGTCCTGTAACTGATTGCGTTTAGCAAACCGCATTAGTAAAGTATCGCGTTAATCGGTAGTTTTTACAAACCGCTTTTCTAGTAGAAAGTTATCTATGAATCATGATGTTTTAGTGTTTTCTTGTCGCGTTGCGATAAAAAAGATTACTCTGGTGTCAGTCGTATCGAGAGCAAGATTGTTTGTAAAATACATACGATAAATTCAATCGTATTTGATAGAAACATTCTTGATAAAAGATATATAACAGTTTACTTCTGTGAGAAAACTCATTTAAAAAAATATCTATGACTTTAGTTTTATTATACACCTGTGCAAAACCAATGGATAACAATAAAATTTGATGCATGAAGAACATCTTTCGAATGGCAACTGATTGATACAAACAAAAAACTATATAAAAATGAAGACAAGAACAGAAGCATTTTATGTATTACATAACATATCCGGGGACTACTCATTGCCAATTGAATTGAATAAATTTCACGCAAAATAAACGACGTACTGATTTTCTTTAACACAAACACAAAGAAGCCCAAGTTATTTTGCCATTAGTTAGGCTTAGTCAAACATAAATGCATGATTGCACTTTTGTTTTTCGTTGCTTGCCCACCTACCAGATTTGTATGTTGAAATTTACAAAGTATATGAATATATATCTGAGAAACAACTGATGAGCAAACATGCATACGATGGACACGGAACGAAACTTCTCAACAATGTGCTTTAGCTTGCATAAAACGAGATTTCAAGAACGTTTCAATAAAGAAGGCTACGGAATAGCACAAAATTGTTCTTATACTCGAATGACTTTATTATTCACCTACAAATATCTACTCTGATCAAGTTTGATGGAACGTTTAGTACTGTTTGTTCTTGACTACCCAAATCTGTGCGAGAAGTTTTCAGAAGAGTCAACCCTCAAAAATGGGCTCAAAGATGGCAATCCAAGCTGGTCTTATTGAAAGGAGTCCACAACTAGGTTCCATGACACTGAGTAGGTTTTGAATCGCTGGTTAGTATTTTCTGGTTTCTGGAATAATTTCTTGTGAACCAATCACATTCAGAGGTCAACTAATATTTAACAATGATGCACGTAAAAATGCTTCAATTTCCAGTTACTCAAAGGACGGATCCAGCCGGAGTAGCTTGGTCTTCTGCTACCGTTATCTTGTCGTGCATTTCAATTTTAGTAAAATGTGTTGATTTGGAAGAACCTCTTGACGTTCTCTGTGAAGAACATTGACTATCTTTTGTTCTCCGAATCTTTTTGTAAACCGCGTCAACCATGTCCGAATATAGAATAGGATTAAGAGCACTGTTTATGGGCAAAAGAACGATTGCTGCCACAGCGTATGCTGTATCTTGAATATTCACTCCCGCCAGCTTGCAGAAGGACATTATGCAAATTGGGACCCAACAACAGAAATCAGTGATGATGAGACGAAGTATTTTTCTTTGCATTGCTGAAAAATAAAACAAACTTATATAAAAAATTGATAATAATAATAATTCCAATAAGGAAAATCAACCCAGAAACAAATGAAATTAAGGTGTGGGTGGTTATTGCCAAGGCTGTAGATTCGGGGAAAGTTTACATCCAACTCCGGACTATGGGTTGTTACATTTTTCCTATTCCTACTCCAGCTCTGAACTTCGGGAAAATTAAATCGAAAAGCGAAAACTTTGGCGTATGCAGGCCTTCTCTAATAGACTGTTGGGAACGCATCATAAATTTCATGCTTTTTGCGGATTGTTTTTGTTACCAATGCCAGTCTGAAATTCTTAATTCGGTGAATTCAGAATAATGAGTTAGAAAACAACGATCCCAGTTCCGACTCCGAATCCAATGGAAAAATGCCAAACTTTCAGCCCCGTCTCGACTCCATAGCTCAGCTTGCTAGAAACACCTAGCCTTGAGCTCATTAGAACGTATGGAAGATATATATATAGAAGTCACAGCTGCGCTGTGTTAAGTTAGCAAAGTAGGTGTTTGAGGCTCTTTTATGTCTTCAGATAGCCGTAGTATTTCATAGTAGTGCTTTTATTTTACCGCAAGTCGGCGCAAAGGCGAGTTACGATGAACACAATTAAATTAATATGGCAAGACATTTTAAATGCGCGTATTGTCCATGGATTGAGTATCTTAGGCAACAGAAAAAATTATTATTCGTTGGAAAAGTAGGCTGCTTAAGTCGGCATTATTGCGGCGCGATAGAGTGATACAGATTCGAAAAAGCGAATAATTTGCCTTTGGCCGGATTTTTACTTGTTAATGTTTGAATGTTGGGTTTGTTAATGGACGCAGTGAACAGTTTAGTGATTAAAAAATTACACTATCGTTTTTTGTTTTTATAACAGTTCTCAAACCCGGTATTTAATGCCTATGTCATATATTTAATGCCAAAGGAATGTCATCGTCAAGAATGCAGAAATTTCAGAACTCACTTCATTGATGAAATTAGGCCCATGAAATCAATGAATTTATTTCAGATTTAATAATATAAATTTAAAATATTCAACAAGTCTACAATACAGAATCTTTAGATCCAAATGGCCCCAAAGTGTTTTTATGTTGCCAATGCAGAAAATTTGTTTAAGGGATTTTTTGAAAAAATATCTGAAATATTTTGGTTGAACATTGATTCCAAAAATATTGATTCTCCAATTTCTATGTCCCCCCCGTTTTTTAAATGATACTGCTGAATCTTTCCTTAGTTTTAAGGACATACTTCGGTGAATTTAACAGAATTCCCCATTGTGCGTCAGGGTCTGTCCGAATGTGCCCCACTCGTGGGATACAGTGGGAGACAAACGTTTTTTTTTTTCAAAGCATTTTGGCGGTGAGATGTATGTCGCGAGGGAATTTCTTAGTCGCTGAATAAAAACCACATTTACTCCTCTCCGCATTTGCCCCGCAAAATGAAATGAAAGTACAGAATATAGAACTCAAAATATGCAGAAGAAAAATAAGTGTCTCAACCTTCCACACTTTCCCCTACTCAGTTTCTAGCTACCGGAATATTCCATTATTTTCCTAATGAGGAAGATGTCTTATTTAAATGCACATAAAAAGATGTAAGATAAAATTTTGATGACCCTGTGGATTCTCACAGTCACAACCTGTGATTGTGACCACACTAACGGTCAATTGCTCTGGTATATACAGACTAGTATGCAATCTATACAAAATGAGTCTTTAAACACGCTTTCGTCGTCAATTAACGCCTTGTATGGCACACAAAATTGTAACTCGAGAGTCCGAATTAGGTATGGCTAAATAAGCTCTGAGGACTTTGTACTACAAAACTCGTTAGAAACAATTTATAAATCTCATCGAAAATATGAAATTATTTACATCTATTTTAAATAAATGGGATCAGTATTAACTTAATAGTATACTAGCACAGGAAGATCAAATTCAGTTCATGTTTTAGTTTAGTAATTTATCTACCTCAGAATGTGGATTGAATTGTCTGATGGAAAAGAAAGCGATTGGGATACATCTTTTAAAATATGTCAAAGAGCGTTTCAAAATGATTCGTTCTATATGTATACTCATCCAGATGCGGAAATACGACGGAAATTTCTAGCAGTGTACTACAATGACACATATCTTGGACATTTGAAAGAGGGTTATGGATTGTTATCTTTACTTAAAGTGAAAGAAGGCAATGAAATAAAAATAATTGGTGCGATAGCTGGTTCATACATTTCAGGAAAAGAACTCAGCAAAGAAGACGATGATCGCTTGTCTCAGATCGATAAGGAAAGTTGGGAAAGGTATAAAAGGTAAGAACGTTTTTATTTTAAATTATACAATTTGAGGTTTACAATTTTGCAGATTCTTAGTCAAAATATTATGTTAGTTTCTTAGAATCAGATTTTACCTTCCCTAATTCAATAAATATTTCATTCAGGCACGCGGAATGGGAGGAACAATCATACGAAAATGAATTCGGAGAATTGGGTGAAAAATTAGAGGTCACTGTTATTTATGGAATTTTTCACGCTATTGATGACGGATATAGAGGAAAAGGAATAGGATCAAAATTTTTACTGATAGCAATGCAAATGCAAAGTGATGAAGTAATGAGACGCGAAAAATTAGCAGGAATACCTGCTATTTCTGACCATCCAAAATCTAGAAACTTTTGTAAAAAGATCGGCATGATTGGATTGGCTCAAGTGAGATCTTACCAACCAGCTGGTATGCAAAGAACTTTCGTATATGTGGATTTTTGTTCTTCCATCTTTGCCTTCAAGTTATATCAATGCTGCCAAAAATTTTTGTTCTGCCAGCAAACCTGTGAATGTCTCGATAAATATTACAATGTCCTAATGGATTATTCAAAGCGTTGGGACAAAATAAGTGTGTGTGTGTGTGTGTGGTATGAAAATATATGGAGATTTTAGCAATTTGAGTCTTTTGCGCTAGACAATTCAAAACCAAATCTTGGTGAACTTCACAAAATCAAGTAAAGTGAAAGGAAACGACGACAGTTAATGCCTAAAATAGCTCTGATTTGAGAATCAATTCCATAATCGCAGCATTTCATCTTAAATGTGTGCCTTTCCTCTCTATATACACGACAGTGCATTAGAAAATGTTCCATTGTCTTCAGATAAACAATCCTCATCAGTTCAATACAATACAGAAAAATGTTTTTAATGGCAATGAACGATAATGCTGTTTTTTCTACAGGGCGGTAATCTTCTTTTGAATTATTAAAGTGGAAGTGTCTATCTTTACGAAAAGAACTTTTTTGTTTTTCTGGTAGTTTTTCCCTTACATGAATAAGTTAATGGGCCACAGAATTGTTTGTGTAACAGAATTAGGCCACGAGAGAAAAAGGGTTGAGAACCACTGGGACGTATGAATCATCATCGTCAAAGGACCTGGTAACCCTATACGACAGACCGGGTCCCAGTACCTGTACTGATAAGTTACGGTCGCCGTTCTACAGTTTCGGCTTTGTTCAGGAGGTAATTTTAGGGAAATTTGGGTAGAGTATTCGATTTTTTTATCATGTGGATTGAATTATCTTTATCTGATGGTAATGAAACTGACTGGTTGGCAAGTTTCAAAATATGTAAAACGAGCTTTTCAAAATGATCCTCTATATATTTACACACACCCTGATCCGGATATTAGACGAAAATCATTGCATCTTTTAAAAGTATGTCAAGGAGCGTTTCAAAACGATTCGTTCTATTTGTATACCTATCCAGACACGGAAATACGACGTAAATGCTTTATATATCAATATCTAAATCTGAACCCAATAAAACGTTTTTGCCAGTCGCGTACTGCAGTCGGTTTCTAAGCAATCTTACGCGTTGCTACATTTTTCGCACAAGAATATACTGTATCGAGTACTGATATTTTTTAAGTAGTTATTTGTGTAGCATTGTCGAAAATATTTATTCAGCATTTTTGTAAGCATGGGATAAGCCAATCTTGTCTTAATTATACATTGAAAAGTGTGACATACGCATTGTTATATCCCAAACGCGGCCTCATCATCTGTGGCCTGTTTCGTATTTGGCATTTGCTGGGGGTTAATCAAAAATGCATTTGGTGTTGTCTAATCATAAAAATCTTTTAACATATTGTTACATCACTAATATCACTGAATTGACTAGTGTTATGACTAGCGAAGTTTTTGGTCTGGAATATATGCTGACAACATAATACATGGGCATCATAGAAAAATGAAAATCGAATGCGATATCTATTAGCTTAGGTTGGCTTATGCGTGATAACTAAATATTAATGTTATGGCCTGACATTATAAATCCAGCCGGCTGTTTTTTTTTAAACCAGCCTAAACAGGATTACAAAAAAAGATGTCTCTATGTCAGAAAATTTAGTAATTACCCTCCTCACATTTGGTAATAAATCATCCTGCAGTGATTTGTAAATTGTTAACATGAGTTTGAAAAAAAAGCTGACCAATTCAAACAGATTTTTAACTGGATATAGAAGAATAAAGGGTTGATGGGATTTGAACTAAAAATTAGCATTCACATATTTCGTTGAAGAAAATTATGAGAAAAACAGGAGAGCTACGCCCAAATATATGGACACGTCTGTTCGCAGTACAGTACGGTTTACCGTACCGTCAGATCACAGTCTACAAATATATTCACACCAAGCGAAGCAGTACAGTAGGACTTCCAACTTTTGCTAAGGCGGTACGGTACGGTAACGTCCCCGCAGAAAAGAAAACCAACATTATTGCAATACTGTACGGTACAGTACCGGTACCGTAGTAAGACAGCGTAAGGAAAAAATCGTAGCAAAGTACCGTAAGGACTTCGTTACGAACCATCGACGTTCGATGGCACGTGATCAAAAAGAAGAGGAGTGTCGGCTATGCGTCCGCAGAACGTTCGGTGACGTCATAGCAAACAAAAACAAATCTCACAGAGCTAACAGAAATATTTAAAATAGATAAAATAGCCTTCTGGAGAAAAATTTCATCTTTAACCAGTAAAAATTTCGAAGCAATCGGTCCAGTAATGAAAGAGAAAAGCGTTTTTTTAGATTTTCCACTAGATGTCCAAAAAGTGTCAAAGAACAACAACAACAAGAGAGCTACGCACAAATATATGGACACGTGAGACCAGAGCGAATCAGTCTTTACCGGTACCTTTGACGCTACCGGTACCCTCGAAAAAGTTCTGAATTTCCAGTAGCAAGAATTTTGAATAATCAAAACGTACAGCCAGTCATGACACTGACTAAAATCCGTGTTCCCATGGATAAAAAATAAGACAGCAAAATTTTAGACGAAATATCAAATTTCATAGAATTCACGCAAAATTTTGAAATAAATAAAAGTAATAGCCTTCTAGCGAAGAAATTAATCTTTAACCACTGAAAACAACAACAACAACAACATAATATTGAAACGATCGTTATGGCCACTAAACGTGTCCAACAAGACCAACATAATATTGAAACGATCGTTATGTCCACTACGTGTCCAAAAAGTATTAGGCTGTTGTCAAGGGAATCATACTGTTGATGTCTTCTCCAACCTTCTTCGTCGATATCGGCAAAATGACTGTAAGTTTTTTCCATCAAAATTTCATCTTCCTCCATTGAGCATGCTGTCGCTCCAACTATTTTGTACGCGCCCGTCTTTGAATATTTCTGGATATAGATATTCATAACACACAGAAAGAAATTTTCGTCTAATATTCGTACCAAGATGTGTTTAAATGTATAAAGGGTCCTTATGAAATGCTCGTTGGCATATTTGAAAACTCGCCAACCAGTCCCGTTCATTACCATCAGATAATTCAACTCACATGCTGAAAAAACAAAAGGGCAATGCTTAAATATATACCGTGAAGGCCAAGACGAAATATTTTACCCACAATTACTCCAAAATCATATCCTGAACGAAGCTGGGATTGTGGAACAGCCACCGTAATTTACCAGTACCGGCACCACCCGGACTGTTCCAGCTTTCTCAGGGTCTGGGACCGATAATGATTCATGCTTCTAGACTCGATGTAAATCAAATGATTGAATGATCCACAGGTGTAATAACAAGTCTTTCACCGTACCGTACTGGCAGTCTACCTTACATTTCCAAAAACCTTCAGACATTCGCTGAGCACGAAATCAGCTGATTGCGATTGTGGAATCTCTGCACGGTGCGCAATTTTTAATTTTCATGGCGTCATCACACAAAATTTCGTACGGAAAAACGGATCCCATAGAGCCCAAAGGAATTTTAGAAATTATTTAAAGAAATAGCATTCTAGCGAGAACAACAATCCTCAGCCATTGATAATTTGAAAGCAATTGGTATGGTACTTGAAAAGAAAAGCAATTTTTTTACAAACAAGAAGAAAAGAAGAAGAAGAATACCGAATATACCAACAGCAACAACGACAATTCGACATAACAATCTATACGTCCAAACATGTCACATAAATATACTTTTATATTAAAGTGAAGATATGAAAAAGCATGTTTCTCGGATAACGAATCCATTTTGCATTGTCACCTCGGGATATAACAATCCGCTTGCCACATTTATAGAAGCATACTTTAGACAAGATTAGTTTATCCCGTGGTCACGTAAATGCTTCGACACGAAATTTACATAAGGACCGTTTTGTTATTTCACCATACATTGCGCCGAAAAATCAAACGTCGTAATTGCCATATGAATCTTTTCGACAGGACGGTTATGCTATACAAATAATTACTAACGTTACGTTGCTGGTACTTACCTCTCTGCATCGTTTAACAATGTTATTTCAAATATTTTCGTTCGCGTTAACGGATCAGTAGTAAATAAATGTAAGTGCCAGTACTCGTGGCAGTATATTATTGTTCGACAATAAGTTGCCAATCGTAATTTTTTTTAGATGCAACCGATAGAAGTACGCGACTAGCATAGGAGGTAAGGTTTAAACAAAAATATAAAAATAAAAGATTTAAATGGCTTTTTTGTGTAATTCAAAGTCTATTCACCACAGCTGTTGACGCGCATGAGTTAGTATTAGTCAACAGTGCCTGTTCCCCTGGACAATTCTCTGAGTCAATCATTAAAGCAGAGTTTTGAATGGTGCGTATCTGACATCATTTGTAAATCCAGCAGCGTGTGTGATAGCCTAACAAATTTATGAGTTGACTCAAACGTGCAATTTCGAAATGGATACAAATAAGGAAAATACCAAGTAAGTGAAATAGCACAGAAAATATAATAATTGGTTAGACCGGACTTTGTGAGAGAAACCATTTGAAGGATTTCGACCGTCGCTGCCAACGCTCTGAAACGAATTCTAAGACTCACCTGTACGAATATCTTAGGGTTAGTTAAATTCTAAAATTAGATCATGTAGTGATTCGTGGCGAGTGTAGTAAGTTGTGTTTATCTGTTTGCACAATAATATTGATCTACGAATGATTTATTATTAGCTGACAATAAGCCACCAGACGATCAATTGTAAAATTATTTTACAGTAAGTTAAACAAGTTGAATTGATTTTGTTCTGGAAAAACATTTTCTTTTGCCTTCACTTTATGTATGTTCAGGCAGGCTAACATGTTTTTAATTCAGGTTTTTGAATAAAATCTCAAATACTGATATATTTATTGGATTCCAAAACCATTTTATCAGAATTTCCAAGTTATAATTAATACATCATAATTTTGTGTAAATGAGGTATAATTTCGCTATGTAATTGAGAATAACATGAGAGCACAGCTTAAAATTCATAGACACGGAGGTCACCCATCAGTCGGTACTGTTACCGAGATTTGATGAAATGCAACGTGGTGCCACGGTGGTGGCGCAATGTACCAAAACAAGCCAGGTTTGGGATGTAAAACACATGCTCACAGGAATCAGAGAAAATTCAAAATTAAATGAAAGTAACAGTCTTTCAGCGACTTTTAGTAGTAAATTCAAAACTCATTCGGACTACTAGTTGAAAGGAAAAACGATTTATCATGATAAAAACGTCAAAACCAAAAACCCACATCTTGGCTACCCATAAACATGTAATTAACAAGTTGAAAAATTAACGAAAAGTAATCTTTCTAAAGAAACCTAAAAAGATTTAACATTGAAAATATTGAGCGCCTGTAAAATAATATGTAACACAATTGTACACTGTAAGAAAGATAATTTTAGATTTATTCTTTTATTCGAGTTCTTTGATACGAAGATTAGTTTTCATTAGTGAGAAATTGTGATTTCAATTGCATTATGAGTTATATGCAACGGCAATCGTCCAGAAATCGTTAACATATCGTAAATTCATTTCAATGGAGAACGTGGGTCCGCGGAAAATACACGATGTAGAAAATAGTCACAAGCTCTTCTCGTCATGTTTACTTCACTCGTCCTTTTCGTATTCGTGCATTCCAAATAAAAAATTAAATCGCAATGCCCAATATACGCTTGAATCGAGAGTTATTTTAGAGGTTTTGGTCTTCGTTTATATGCTTAGGCGTCTATTGCACGTATCAAATTATTATTCTTTTTGGTGTGCCTCCGGTATTCCTATTATTTCGTGTTCGAACAATCAAAAAATATTTTATTTAATTCAGAATGTGGATGGAATTATCAGATGGCAAGGAAAGTGATTGGAGAGATTGTTTTAAAATATGTCAGCGAGCATTTCAAAATGATCCTTTCTACACTTACACACACCCGGATCCAGCAATTCGGCGAGAATTTTTGAAAGTCTATTTTGACTATTTATACCCAGCTATTTTACAAGATGGCAAAGGTATATTAGTTGTAATAAAAGCTGAAGACGAGGAAGGAATCAAAATAATTGGTGGGATGTCAGTTACAATGTATCAGGATGAGGAATTAGAAAATGATCACACAGCTTTACTAGCAGTTGATAGAAACGGTTGGATGAAACATTTGAGGTAATACTTACTACCTATTTGATAAAACTTTACATTTTATGTGTTCAATGTTTTCAGTGCTTCATTTTTTTTCAATTTCGACCAAAGGTTTTGATATAGTACTTGTTCATCCCTCACATCACTGTCTGGAATACCATAGAACAATTGTATTATTACCTATGATCCATTTGTTATATTTATAGACGTGATGACTGGGAATGTGAAACCTATTACGAAAAATTACAAGAATTGCAGACAAATTAGGTACAAACCTTATGCCTGGCGTGTTTCAAATAGTGGATGATGGCTACAGAGGAAAAGGAATTGGATCAAAATTCGTCATGCAAGCGGTGCAGATGATGAGTGACGAAGTCGTAAAAGAAAGCGTCTCGCTGGAATAGCAAAACCTAAACCTCCCTGGCTTATTGCATCTGTGATCATGAAAGGTCTAGGAATTTTACGAAGAAAAGTGGGTTCATAGAAGTGGCTCAATTACGTACAAACAACGTTGGAGTTCTAGGCAAAGATACATCCCATATATGGATATTTTTACTTCCACCTGAGG